TATATATATATATATATATATATATATATATATATATATATGTGTGTATCCATCCTGTGATGGACTGCAACCTGTCCAGGGTGTCCCCTGCCTCTTGCACAGTTATTGCTGGACATGGACACCAGTGACCCCCGTGACCCAAAAAGGAAGAAGCGGGTAAAGATGACTGATGGATGGATGCATTTTACTATATAAAAGTTCTTATGTAGTTACAGAAAAGCGCTCAGGTTTCCCTGTCAGTGTGCTAGTGTCTTATCAAACAGAAGCTTTCATAAATCATAAACCAAAGGTTCTGTCAGGATACAGTGCTCTGCCTACAAGCATAGAGATTTTTTTTCTTCTAATATTTTGATAAACTGCAGTTGTGTGAATGTAAAAGTGGGTCGTTACTCCAACATATAACAAAAATGCATGTTTTGCTTGTTGAATTTCAGTATTTTTTCATGTATTTAAACTCTGTGTTGCTCAGAATATAATATAATGTAAAAGCTAAAGGAAAGTTCAGAAACAAGAAGTGCTTAGGGAGGCGGTGACTAGACAATGTTTCCCTTTCGGAGATACTTCTGAAAAGGATTTAACATTTTCCTGTTGGACCTCGTTGGCTTAAGACTGGAAAATGACGTCTGCACCCTCATGCTCTCTAATGGGTCCAATTTCATCTTCTGACTCCCATAGTCTTCTTCGAAGTGTGTCAGGAGGCCCAGGTGTGCAGATGTTAGCTTTTTGTCCCCCATCCCAAAGCAAAAAAAAGGAATAGGAAATAACCTCCATCGTTCCATTCATCAATGAATGTTGTGAGCTGGATAACTTGAAAAATAAGTGAGAAACCAACTTCCATTTTTTGTGGGTGGTTACAGAAGCAAGAAATGTTCATTTGAAAACTTGGGTTGACGAGTCAAAATCCAAGATGGCTACCACCATATATATGTAAATGGACTACCCCGGTCATTTGAGGAAACTAGTCTTTCTACATTCTACATTTTATACTGCTTTAAAGTATAGTTTCCTCAAAGGATTGGGGTGGCAGACGATTAAGCAATTGGGGGCCAAGGTGGTGGATAAAATTGCTCCCCCCACTTTCCAGGATCCATCAGTCTGCACTGTTTCAAAAAAAAAAAAAAAAAAAAAAAGACTCATTCTGTTTCTTTCCACAGTGTAACTCCTACCCACTTGAAAATCTTGCACCAAAAATATTCAGGTATACTTCATTCTGTGTTCAATTCCTGTCCAGAAAAACACAAACTACAAACACTCATTATTCAAACCCCCCGAGACGGGGGCTATCCATCCATCCATCCATTATCTTTACCCGCTTCTTCCATTTTGGGTCACGGGGGTCGCTGGTGCCCATGTCCAGCAATCACTGTGTGAAGGGCAGTGGACACCCTGGACGGGTCGCAAGTCCATCACAGGGACACATAGAGACAAACGAGACAAACATTCAACGGGGGATATCAATATACCAATTTTTAGTCTTACTGAAGGGCTCTTGTTCCTTGAAGTTTCTGTTAAAGAAGTACCAGAAGTTGATGCAGGGAAAGCTGCTTATCTTAGGAGAAAAATGTATAAAACAAAAATCCTTTGTGGGGTTTTTTTTGTGTGGGTTTTTTTTTTTACTTTGAAGGTGCTTTATCATCTGCTTTATCATCCAAATCTATTAAATTTCCAGAAATACACAAAAACCAGTGATTGGTTGTGATTTAATAGCCTTGGAGCTCAGTGTGGATCAGTACACATCCATGTTACAGATGAAGCATGTTCATGTTCCTGCAGGGTCAGCTGGTGTTGTACTAAAACAGCACTCCTAGCTGTTAAAAGAAGGATTGGTGTCAGGGCGGGGTGTGAATTCTTGGACACCACATGATTCAGAGGAATGCAATTACAAATAAATTATTTGTGCATCTCTAATCACACTTCACACAAAATCCTGATATACAAATAATCTCTCAGAACAAAAGAAACAACATATTTGACTGCTGCATAAAATGGTTTCCATTCAGACAAGATTTTGGGAACTGAAGGAACAAAAAGGATTCTGAATGCTGAAGACATTAATATGAGTCTGTACCTCTGGATGTTCATGTTAGAGATTTCTTACCTGTTTCCACCACTTTGTTTGTGGTCCCATCGTGGTGTTGGAGTGGCTGTGCCATTGTCTCCTTCATAGGATGATCATGTTCTACTGAGACTCAGAAAGGTGCAACGTAAGGTATCATCTCACTGAGCTAAAGGTGGGGAGCAGTTGCTGTTTCAAAACTGTGAGAAAATTGGAAGAAAACAGGCAAATCTTCATTTGGAGTCTCATTGAATTCTGAGTGTCTCGCTCTGAGGGGTCAGTTTTAAAAAACAATAGCTTAACTTTGTTTTCATGGTTTGAAAAACTGTGTCCTGAGCTGTGCATGTTATTTTTTGCTCACCCTCGCCTGCATTGTACCTGCCTTGGCAGACGTCCTCAAGTCTATAGTTTAATCCACTGCACATACACTTTTGAAACAAAGGGAGGTAAACGTTTTGGAGACGTTCTGGAAACTCCTTCACGAATGCCATTCATTTACTAGTCACCATCAGTCGCAGCCCAAATATTAACCTTTAGCAGCAGTGAAGTGTTGATAACTGTTCTGCCCACAGATGTGTCTGCTTTTTATTGGCTTATCATGCAAAGGTGTGTCCAAGTCTGATGATTTTAAAATAAATATAAAGTCCAGTTCTTTGGCCAAACATCCCTGAGCCTATCTCTAGTAGTTGGTATGAAGATCATGTAACTCAGGAAACCTTTTGACTTGTTTTGTTTCTTGGTTCAGGACCTCTGGAACAGCAGCCATGGCAGACGGAGCTGAGTGTTTCCAATCTGCAGTCATGTGACTGACTCTTCCCTCCTCCTGATGAACTCCTCCAGCTGCCCCCTTTCAACCATGACAGGACCCGAAAGGTGTCTGACCTCATACTGGCGCTGCCATCGTGCTGTGTGAGCGCCCCCTCTCCTCCGGCAGTGATTGCACGGAATGGCCTCTCTGGACCTGCCGTACCGCTGTCCTCGCTGCGGGGAGCACAAGCGCTTTCGAAGCCTGTCGTCCCTACGTGCCCATCTGGAATACAACCACACGTACGAGACGCTCTACGTTCTCTCCAAATCCAACAGTGTGTGTGACGCCGCTGCTCTGCTGCCTCTAGTGGCTGAGGGGGCCCTCCTCACACCAGGCAACAACAACGACCCCTTTGAGCCGCTCCGACCCTCAGCTTTAAACGAGCGCCGCTTTCCCTGTCGGGAGCTCCCTTGTGCCGACGACCTGAGTGTGACCCCGGCTAACTCCAACTCTGCAGCCAGGTATATTCCAAATGTGGAGTTCCCGCTGGGGGAGATTTTCATGAAGAAAGCAATGACATCCACTGATCCGGGCCCCCATGGAAACCCCAGCACAGCCGTAGCCGTGGCAGCCAACGTGGCAGCTAGTGCTGTAGAGGCAGCCTACGAGGAGGGCCTGGCCAGGCTGAAGGCACGGGCGTTTGAACGGCTGGAGTTGGACGAGAGGCTGGAGAAACTGTCAGAGGAGGTGAGTAGGACCCTTGTTACCAGAATCAACTTCATCAGCTGGAAAAGTTTGGGAGTCAGACTCTGGCTGCTGTAGACCTGGCTTCAGTGCAAGTTTGGTTTCTAGAGAGGGGGTAGCTGTTCAGTTAAGAAGTGTTCAAAGGACAAACACTTCAGATGTAGCCTGATAGGAGGTTAGTGTCTCATTTTTAGGTCCTTCATAACCAAAGTGAGTATAGAGTCAATAGGAACTAAGAACCAGAGATTTCATGGCTACGTAATGGTCCGTATGTCTACAAGTGACTCACTGGATGCACAACATATGGAGTTCAGATGATTGTAACGTTTAAAAGATATGCTTCAATAAACACAACCATCTGAACTGAAAATGGAATTGGGCTAAAATAAACAAAAACAAGGAGATATCCTGATGCATGCTCAATAATCAAAAAACAAGGAGAGCCTTGAACCAACTAGCAGTACACCATTGGCTTTGGGAAGCTCCGCTCACCTTATGGTCCAGGATCTTACCCTACAACCAAAAACGAGGAAACAGAACAGCCAGTACCTCCCTGACCCAGTTAACAATCACTATTAACAAAAGGTGACAAGGTGCAAGGCAGGCGTCTATGGGGATGAGCGGGAGTGAGCTTAGAGACGGAAAACCAGCAACCACCAGACTTCAGAGTAACACCTCAGGTTTCTCCTCTCTGTCCCTCTCTCCTCTAACAGGCGGGGCTTACTCCATATAAAGTCCCATCAGCCAATTAAAAACTGATAAGAGATGACACACCCATTAATCAGACATGTGTTCATAAAAGGTGACTCGGGGATGTGCAACACCACCTTTGTAGATACCAGACAAGTTTAATGATGCAATGCTTCAGTGGATGAAGGTGATGAGTTGTTTGGGCTGCAGGTGATGGGTAGTGTATGGTCCTCAATGAATGTTAGACCTTTCATAATTTTCTGTTTCATTTTATTTATGAACATCTAGTTTCATTTAAACCTCGGTATAGCAGAAAGTTTATTTCAGTGTAATACTTGTTTACAGCTGTCGTCTGCAGAGTCTGACTGACAGAACCCTTTGTTTCCTGATGCTTTAGTTTATGACCTCAACTGTAATCAGCAGCCAGCGTATTGATCAGCGCCGGCCACCGGGCAGCTCCAATCATCCTCCTTCTTGTGCTGTAGGTGGAGCAGAAAATAGCGGCCCGTGTAGGCCGTCTCCAGGCGGAGCTGGAGAGGAAGAGCTCTGAGCTGGAGCGGGCCAAGCAGGAGAGCGAACGGCTGAGCCAGGAGAAACAAGACCTGGAGGACAAGGCCTCTGAGCTGTCTCGGCAGGTGGACGTCTCTGTGGAAATGCTGGCCAACCTCAAGCAGGACCTGGTGAACAAGGAGACAGAGCTGACCCACAAACAACAGTAAGAGACATTCATCTGCTTCACGGAAAACAAAGACAAAGTTTGTAGCAGAGATTTAGCATTTTGTTCAAAGCAGCCATTATACTGTTTTTAGTATGAGCATTTAGAGGCAATTAACGGAGCTAAAATGTCCATTGCTTATATAAAAAAATATATCTTTTTACAAATTAGCATCTGTTTGTAACTAAATACTGTTCACATCTGTTGGTCCTAATACTGAGCTGATCTACAAACACAGCTGCAACTGGCTCAGTTCAAGTAATGACTCAAGCAGAGCAACACAAATTAGAGCAGACGCACAAAAGCCGAGCTGTTAATCATCAAGAGTCTGTAATTTACCAACGCAGCTCGTTTCCTGGAGCTACACCACGAGAACCAGGAACCTTTGGTCCAGATCAGCTCCAGGAATTAAGCTGTGCTCTTTAAATTAGTAAGACAGTTTATCAGGTGTACTTTTGACAATTAACTTGTCAAATACTTCTGATAATGAAAGTAAAATTTGTTTTTTATGGTTGAAGTTTTGACTAAAAAAAGAAAATTAACGTTAAAAATGGTAAATAACAATAAATAGGAGAACATTTTTTACTACTGGCTGTCACTGAGTAGATTTTATTTCAGAAAGGAGAGAATAAACCAACTAAGTCATAAAGATTAGGAGTAAAAAATAACCACAAGCAGAAATATCAGTTTTACTGTCTTAAAACAAAATAAATCAAAACCATGATTATTATTTTTTTATTTAAAATATTTCATCAACTATTACTGCTTCTTTATTAAAATCACACTTTGCTCAATAACGTTTATATTTTAGTCATGATGGTATAATAATTCTTACTTTAAACCTTTATATTAATTTAAATTTTAATGCACAAATAAATATAAATTAGGAAACAGAGTTGTTGACAGTCTGTTCAAAATCTGAGTCAGCTTTTTGATTTGTACTGTTTTTATTTACAATTGTTTCAGAATCAAAACTTCATTTTTAATTTGATCACTGTTATTGATATATATATATGTATGTATAATTTATTTATTTATTTATTTATCATCAAGGAGTGAGATATGTTTTGAACAGATTGTAGAGGACATGGACATAACAGGGAGTGGATCCAGTCAGGGACACATTGATACTCTGTGGGTGAACCTGCTCCCTCCTCTTGTCGTTCCTCTGATTACAGGACAGTGGACCCCAAATACTTGAAGTCCTGTATCTTTGTGATCTCTGCTCCTTGTAGCCTCACTGTTCCACCAGCCTCCCTCTCATTCACACACATGTACTCTGTCTTACTACGGCTGACTTTCATTCCTCTTCTTTCAAGTACATGCCTCCACCTTTTCATATTCTTGAAGAATAAAAAAAACAGTTTTGGCAAAGATGATGTAGGTTTGGATGATTGAGACTGACGGCTAACGAGGTCAGGTTTGGGATCAGGGCTTCAGTCAGCCATGCCTGAGGTGAGCTGGAGGGAGAAGGTTTGGTTTTAGAGAGCAGACATGAGCTCAGACTCAGAGAGATCCATAACCAGACAAATGGAGAATGTGGTAAAGAGGTGAAGAAGAGAGTCCATGCAGGCTGGAGTGGATGGAGAAATTTTCAAGAGGGATTTGCATCAAAATAATGTCAGCAAAGGTTAAAGTAAAAGTTTACAAGACAGTTGTGAGACCTGTTATGTTATACGGTCAGAAGACAGAGACATGGACTAAAAGACAGGAGAAAGACCTGGAAGTAGCAGAAATGAAGATGTTGAGATCCTTAGGCATGACAATGATGGATAAGATTAGGAATGAGATCATCAGAGGTACAGCACAGGTTGAAGAACTGGAAGAAAACTCTTCCCCTATCCCCGTGTCATGTCTCTGTGTCCTGCCTGTCCTTCCATAAAGCCGGCCGCTGCTCCTGAAATAGACTTGGACATAAATCACAGTTAGGAAACAAGCTGAACATTTTTTGGATCTCTCCGGTGGCACAAAAAGCGAGAACTGGAAGACTTTCAGAGCTTTTAGTGAAATGAATCCCAGGATGGCTCATCACGTGGTCCAAACATTGCTCTGAATTTTACTTTGAGGAACAACGGGGTATGTTTTACTGCAGATGGGCTTCGGTTAAACAAGTGTGTTGCCTTTTCCCCTGATTTGTTTAAACACCATACATAAAGATCATAATTTTACCAAGATATCTAGTTTAATAATTAATTTAGTAATAATTAAGAATATGTGTTGGGGATGACTCTCAGCTGCAACCATGCCAAATTTTACTAAAACCTCTGTAAAATTGAATGCATTATAGCTTTTCTATGTTTCTGACGGTCAGTTAGCTGTGGTCAGGTGAGGTTTCAGGAAAGACCTGGTAAACCCAAATGCATAGTGAGGGTGAACTGGGAATGTCTGGTGGAGTCTTCTTTCCAAGTCTTTGTTCAACTCACACCTCCGGGAGAGTTTTTCACATGTCCCGGGTGATTTTGGAGACTTAGAATCTGAATAGGCCATGTTCAGGTTCTCTATTGCAAATGTGGCTTCAAGGAGCTGTGGCCTGAAGGTCTCTGGTGCCTGTCGGACCCGTTGATGGATGCCAGTGGTGATGGAGGCTGTCAAGCTGAAGACGGAGGCCTTTAGGACTTGGTTGTTCCAGAGGACTCCTGAAGCAACTGACAGGTGACCAAAAGGAATGTGGCTTTGGTGGTTGCAAAAGCAAAAACTCGGGCATGGGAGGAATTCAGGGAGAAAATGGAGAAGAAATTTTGATTGGCCTTAGGGAAGTTCTGAAAAATGGTTCGGCGACTCAAGAAAGGAAAGCATACCCTATCACAGGTTTTGCTTGATTTGGGTGGGGAACAGCTGACCTAAACTGAGGATATTGTTGAGCAGTGAAAGGAGCAATTCAAGTATCTCCTTAATCCACCCACCATGTCCACCTTTGAATAGGCAGAGTCTGAGGACTTGAGGGAAGACGAGTCCATTACCATGGCAGAGGCCGCTGTGACAGTCAGAAAACTCCTTGGTGTCAGGGCGCCAGGGGTAGATGAGATACGCACCGAGATGCTGAAGGCTCTGGATGTTGTAGGGCTGGCATGGTTGACACATCTCCAACCAATTGTCGATCCTCGGATTCATGAGGAGCAGTGTGGCTTCAGTCCTTGTCGTGGAACAATGAACCAGATCTTTACCCTTGCAAAGTTGGTAAGGGGGTCATGGGAGTTTGCTTCTCCAGTCTACACATGCTTTGTGGACCTGGAGAAGGCTTTTGACCGTGTTCCTCAAGGCATTCTTTGGGGGGTGCTGCAGGAGTATGGTGTGCCTGGGTTGCTTTTAAGGGCTGTCCGGTCTTTGTACAACCAAAGCAGGAGATGTGTCCACAAAGTTAAGCATTCTTGGCACTTGTTCTCAGTGCAGGTTAGATCTACCAGGGCTGTCCCTTGTCTCCTATCTTGTTTGTGGTTTTCATGGACAGGATTTCGAGACACAGTCATGGAGAGGAGGATGTCTGGTTTGGGAACCTTCACAACATTAACTTCCATTGAGTGGAAGTGTTAATGTCACATCTTGTGAGACTAACGGAGGAATGGAGAAAAATGCACGCCGCCCCACAACTCACTTTAAAGGTTCATTTTAAAGGTAACCTCTGAGGTCACATTTTCTGGCGGCATCGGATCAGGACGGCCTTAAAGTAACACACAGAGAGACACAAACACACACAAGTACAGACACACAAACACACGCGCACACACACACATAACTCAGCAGAATCATGCCACAACTCATCAGAAACGCATAACAACTCAGCAGAAACACACCACGACTCAGCAGAAATATACCATGACTCAACAGATACACACCACGACTCAGCAGAAACAAACGATCCAGCAGAAACCCACTATGACTCAGCAGAAACACACAATGACTCAGCAGACCACGACTCAGCAAAACACACCACGACTCAGCAAAAATTCACCACAACTCAGAAGAAACACTACACGACTCGGCAGAAACACACCCTGACTCAGTAGAAATACTTCATGACTCTGCAGAAACACTTCACGACTAATCAGAAACACTTCATGACTCAGCAGAATCACTTCACGTCTCAGCAGAAACAACACAACTCAGAGAACCACTACGTCTCAGCAGAAACACCACACTACAGCAGAAACACTCCCTGACTTAACAGAAATCCACCACGACTCAGCAGAAACACTTCATGACTCAGCAGAAACACTTCACGACTCAGCAGAAACACTTCACGACTCAGCAGAAACACTTCACATCTCAGCAGAAAGACCACAACTCAGCAGAAACACACCACGACTCAGCAGAAATGCTCCACGACTCAACAGAAACACCACAATTCAGCAGAAACACCACAATTTAGCAGAAACACATCACGACTCATCAGAAACACACCATGACTCAGCAGAGTTAGCAGATCAAGCTTTGAACAAGTTGACCTCACCCTCTCATTTCAAATATATTATTGTAAGTTTGAACAAGTGAATTTTAAAGCAAGATTTAAAGCAAGAATTTTAAAGCAAGATGAATTTTAAAGCAAGAAAAAAGTTCAGGAGGGCGTGCCCCACAGTTAAATGCTGTTCTAGCTGTCAACTCATCGGCCTGATCAAAATTAAACTGTTTCTTGAAACCAAGACTGTTCAGAGAGATATCTAAAACAGGTAAGATAGCTCTTGCTAACCTTTAAATATAAATAGCCTCTATCAGTCTATGTTCTTGTAAACCCTATAGTGCTGCGTTTTCATTACACCTGTGTCCTAAATGCTGCTTTTCATGTACTTACTCTTACCGTGCAGGGCCGTACATACAGTTTGTTGTTTTGGTAGAATATACTGTATTCTGTGTAGATTTCCCCCCCAAAGAGAGCAGAGCACTGTCAGGTTTCATATCGTATTCAGAACAGGCACAGTGTCTGCAGTGGACCACCGCTCTTCGTGTTTTTCTGTACACCGGTGAACGGGTCCACGGGACAGACATGCACCTCAGAAACTAGGGGG